AGGTGCTGGTAGACCAACATGAATGGAGGGCCCCTGACAGTATCACCTCTCTGGGGAAGTAACTTGGGCGATACTCGTGAATCCAATAGGGAAGAATCTGGGACGCACCTTCCAGGCACTGGGAATAGCAAGTGGCAGGGGATGTTTGACTTGGGGGCTGGGACTCTGCTCCTCCCAGATCTGGCCGCTGAGGGAGGGACATGAGGGAGTCAGAGGTTATCTACTGCCCACTGAGGGTCACATGCTTCTTTTTAGCAGCCCTGCAGGGCAGCAGGCCCAGGCCCTGCTGGAGTGACCCTGAGCAGGGCTCTGCATGGCCGCTGCCTTGCCAGCAGGAGCGAGTGTCAGTTTGAGTCCTAGTGCTGTCAGCTGTCAGTCCTGCGCACTCCTGCGCTGCTGTATCTGTGAAGTGGGATTGCCGACCTGTCTGTGGTGCTCTTAGAAAATACTCTGCATGGTCACTCACACAGTAAAGCCCTTTGCACCTGACATTGGTAGTGACAGTAGCTTGTACTCTGGTTCTTGGTATGTGTCACACAGGGTGGTGGGGGAACTTGCTTCATCCTCATGACAGTCCCTGGGGTAGGTAGTATTATTGTCCCTGTGTAAAGGGGGGAGGCTGGGTGGCCGGCTGCCCTCCTGCAGAGCCTGTTTTTCTCCTGCAGTGTGTGTAGGTGTTCAGGAAACGGAGCTGCTACGGTGATCACTGTTAAGTTAGTAAGTCTCGCTAGCTTTCTGACTTCTGAAATTAGCCTAGCACTCTCACCTCTGAAAGCTCCTTCAGATGATGCTCCCAGAGGGCTGAGCATATTTGACAGGTAGAGACACTGCAGCCCAGAGAAGCAGCCATATTCCTGTTAGGGCAGAACTTGGGTCCCCTCCTGAGATATTGTCACTCTGTGGCTTCTAGGCCCCTGCTTTGGCTGAGACTTGGATGTCTCAGACACCATCCTGCTGGGTCTCCTGGGGCAGCAGAAGGGGGACAGGTATGCCCTGCCTGTCCCTAACTCCTGGGTAAGGACCTTCATGAGGAAAGAGCACATGGTCACAGCTGAAGTTAGACTAGGCGTATGGTCTGTCCCAGCTAACTATGGCAGCAGGTCATCTGTAAAATTGCACAGTTAAAATAGCATAGTCATTACCCACCACAGGGTGCAAAATAACCGGACTGGAACAGGCCTGCGGACTCAGGGAGCCTCTGGAGCTTCCCCTGGAGTCCTGGGCTCCTTCTGAGAGCATGTGGCCTTGAGCCGGATGCTCTGAGTGGATCCTGTGTGAGGTGATGACCGGTGAGCAGGACGAGGGTGGTGAGAAACTCCGTGGGTCTGTCGGTACCGAGGCCCGGTGCTGCTGGCTGCAGAGAGGAAGATGTGGGCCCCAAAGATCTCACATCTCACGAGAAGAGCCATGTGCACAGGAAGACCAGAGAGGAACCAGGCCTCCCAGAGGAAAGGGAGGACCAGTGACAGGAATGGGGACAAGGCAAAGCAGGACAAGATTGGATGGCACTGCTGGTCAGGGCACCCCTTCTGCATACCAGGTCCTGGGAGGGCAGATGTGGATGGTAGGTCCTTTGAGGGGAAAACACAAGCAGGCAGCTCCTTGGCAATGGGGGTGTGGCTGTGGAGGAGGTGGAGGCTCACACTCGCAGAGGGATGAGAGTGTGGAGCACCTGCCACCGGCTGGCCCTGGCTGAGTGCAGTTTACAAGCTCATTATCTCAGTTTATTATCCAAGGATCAGAACGCCCCTCGGAGGCCAGCGCATGCCTGCAATCCCAGCATCCCAGGAGGTTGAGGTAGGATGGTCACAAGTTTGAAGCCAGCACTTAATAAGACTATTCCCCCCCCACAAACAAACAAACAAACAAAAAAAAACAGGGCTGGTGATGTGGCTCAGTTGGTAGAGGGCCCCTAGGTTCAATCCCTAGTATCTACCCCCGTCACACATGTGAAAGACAAAACAAGACAGCCCCTTACCCTAGGAACTGTTGCTTCCCGTTTTACAGATGAGAAAACTGAGGCTCAGGAAGATAATTAACTGAGGATCACTCTAACACAAAGCACCAGAATTGGAATGGTAGGACTAAGGCTCTTGCTCCTAACCACTGGGCTATGCTGCCTCAGAGCTTCCTGGAAGAGCCTGGATGAATGGGGTTTGGATCAAGTGAAGGGAAGAAAATCATTTTAGATAGAACTATTTGAACAGAAGCTCAGAAGTTGGAAAGTAGTGTTGCCTTATGAGGAGGCAGTTCTGCACAGTTGGAGCTGCTGGGGTCTCTGTGTTGTGGGAAAAGAGATGGGAACAGTCACTGTGGGGCTTGGGTGTAGGGGTCTGGGACCCCCTCCCCTGCCCCCACTTGCTATAACTTCAAACGGGTACTGTCCCTCTCTGGGCCTCAGTTGCATCATCTGTTAAGCAAGGTGTGGAGACCCGGGGCCTCTGAGGCCAGGGAGTAGCAGCCACTTTACAAGGAGGGAGTAGAATATGGAAGGGTCAGTCCAGGAAGGGAGGAATGCAGAAAAATGGCAAGCATTTTTCAGAGGTCAAGGAGGACAGGGGAATGTTTTGACAGCAAAGAGATCACCAGTGACCTTGGCAAGCTTTGGCCCTTTGGAATGGAGGGATCGGAAGTGGCTTTGGAAAGGGACCAGAAAAAGGCTGAGCCACAGGAAATGAGAGAGTGGGGTCACAAAAATAGGGGAGGAAGGATGTTTGCTTTAGGGCAGGAATGGATAATGAATGAACAAGGCCAGCCCTGATTGATTGGTGTGGCCTGCCTTGGGGCCCTGTTTTGAAACTGGGGGAAATCAAGCTGCGGTCAGTTAGCAATGTCTGCCAAGGACGCAGGCAATGGGCAGTGCAGCTCTGCCTGTGCCATCTTTAGATGGGCTCAGGTCCAAAGTGGTCTTGGTATCTTGGCCCACAGAAAGGAAGCCACTAGTGTTAGGAATACCCAGTCCAGGTGAAGCAAATACCTCCAGCTATAAGAATCTCTCCCTCTCCCTGACCCTCTCCTAGAGGTAAGGCAGCTGGCCTCAGGGACAGATGGTCTATCCAGTGATCAGGAGCTTGGGTTTTAGAGCCAGAGTCCTTGGAGCCTGAGTTTCCTTGTCTGTGAAATTGGAGTGAAAGAACGCTTGCTTGGAGGGTAGCTTTTTATTATTATTATTTTTCTTTCTTTCTTTTTTTTTTTTTTTTTTTTGGTGGTGCTGGGGACCTTGTGCACGTGAGGCAAGCACTCTACCAGCTGAGCTATCATCCCAGCCCCAGCTTTGATTATTCATCTTTATCAACACGGTAGCTCTGATTCACCCAAGAGATGATGTTGTTAGTCTTGGCTTCCTTGAGAGCAGGGCCTGAATTGTTCTGGGTCCCCCATCATCTGACTTAGTACCAGGGACACACCAAGAAGAACTTTCTGCTGCTTTTTTGGAGGATCAGATGGATTAGGCTTCTGGCAGATGGGACAGAGGATGGGGTTACTTTGGGCTTTAGGGTCATCTCAGTGAGGACCAGGCCTCATGTTAGGGTAGAGGCCCAGGAGGGAAGGCTCATGGGCAGTGCATCAGGCCAGAGCTGGGGATGAGGTCTTCCAGGTTGTTCTTTTACCCACCAAATGCCTGTTCTGGGTCAGCTAGCAAATCCCTGCTCACCAGGATCTCGGAAGGGATAACACGAGGTCCCCATATGACCTCCCCACCCCACCTCAGCACACACACGCACGCACACACACACTCCCTCTCAGATGAGGAAATAACCTCCGAGGGGGACAGTGGCTTGCTCAACCCAAATCCAGAGGAGTGTGAGTGCAGTCTCCTGATTGTAGAGGAGGGGGACAGCCCTCGGACCTTATAGTGCTGAGATAGGTGCTAGGAGGGGCCGTAGGAGACAGACTGCGCAGGGGGCCTGGTGTGCCCTGGGCCCAGGACTCTGCTCTTGACAGTCCAGCAACACCAGAGCCCAGCCGAACCTCGTGGGGAGACCCATGACCCTGCCAGGGCTCAGCTGCCCTGGAGCCCCTGATGCCAGAGCTAAACTTGCCTCCTGTGGCTGAGCATCAGTGCTGGCGAGGAGGCCCAGGAGGAGGCAGGGTGGGCACAGACCTCTCCCAGACCCCGTCCAGAGAATGGCCTAAGGAGGCTGGCTACCTCTCTGGTGGCCCCTAGAAACTGGTTCCTGTGTGGATCCTGCTGTGTCCTTAGCAAGACTGTGTGTGCTTCTGAGGAGTTTCTCATCTGTAGAATGGGTATGGTCAGCGTGAACACCTCCCCCAAGGGCAGCATCTGCGTGGGCTGATAAGGACAGACAGGGCCCTACAGGTGAGGGGCCTGGGGACCTTCGTACTGCTTCCTTACTGTGCTTCCCTCCCAGGGATGGGTGCCGGGCGTGAGCTCCACCGAGGAACCTGGGACCGGCAAAGCCTCCCATGCGGGATGCGCCTCCCCTGTGTCTCTGCCTCCACAGGGCCCTTTCCTGAGGGGTGGGGCTATCTCCAGCCCTCCCTCCTGCTCTGTGTCCCTATCCAGTGACTGACTCATCCCTCATTTCCCAGCCTTCCTGACGTTAGTCTTCATCCAGAGTTCTCAGAGGACCCTTCCCATGTAGCCTGCTCTGCCATTACTGTCACCCCCAGAGGAGGGCATTATCAGTCTCAAAGGGGACGGGGGGCTCTTCTGAGAATGGGTTGGGGGGAGCAGGCAGCAAAGCTGGAACTTGAACCAGGTCTGCCAGAATGATAAGGCGACATCACCCAGAGCTCCTTGAGCTGCTGCCGCCCTCCCCCAGCCCTTTGCCCTCACCAACCCTTGGGTCTCGGGTGCAGGCAGAGTGAGGCAGTTCAGGCTGGACCACGGTGGCCAGCCGGGGCCTCATCCCTCTGCTGTGGTGTGTGACTTTTGTCTCATGTCCCTTCCCCTCCATTCTGCCTCCTGACTGTAGCGTGGGCTCATACCCACCTCACCAAGGCTGCAGCAAGAGAAGGGGCAGAAGTTAGCACTGGCGCTCGCTTCCGCAGCACCGATGGTAAAATTGGAATGAAACAGAGAAGAGTAGCATGGCCCAGTGCAAGGGTGACAGGCAAATTCCCTAAGTGCTCCATATTTTTGACTACCTGTGGCACCCACAGGGCTGCCAACCAAATCTAGGTGGCATCAAATTTTTAACATTTTGACCAGTCTCAAAGACCAAAAAAGTGAGCTCCATAAGTTAAAGAAGTCTGACACAAAAGGCCCCTCGCTGAGTCTATTTGCATAAAATGTCTAGAAAAGGCAAATCTTGAAACAGAAAGATTTAACACCGAAGGTCCCCAAAACCTTGAGACAGAAAGCAGCCTGGCGGCTTCCTACCACTGGGGTGTAAAGAGAGAAACAGGTGGAGGCACCTTGGGGATGACGAAAGTGTTTGGGGACTGGATTGTGGTGACAGGTGCTCTACTTGTAAGTTTACCAAATATTACTGAATTGTCCCCTTAAAACAGATGAATTTTATGACATGTGAATTGTGCTTTAATAACATTTTAAAAATATTTTTTGTGAAAAAAATATTTTTAGTTGTAGATGGACACAATACCTGCATTATTTATTTATTTATTTTTGTGTGGTGCTGAGGATCAAACCCAGTGCCACACATGTGCTGGGCAAGTGCTTTACTGCTGAGCCACCACCCAACCCCAATAATAATGTCTTTTAAAAGTAAAAAAAAAAAAAATGGATTTTTTTACTTGGGGAAGAAGAAAAAAAAAGAAGCGTTGAAGCTGAGTTTGGCTGGGGACTTGGACACATGGCCGAGTCGGCCCCGGCACTGACTGTGGGCTTGTGTGGCAGCCTGCTGGGCCCCGGCATTGTTGTCTGCAGTGGCTGTGATAAAAGACCTGCTCGTGGGCTCTTTGAGAATTCGTGGGGACAGTTTGTGGAAAGCTGCTTATCAGTGCTGGGTGTGTTCTAGAAACTGTTCTTCATGGGTAGTAAAAATGGTGGCAGGGGCACCACAGTGTTCCTTCCTGGTTTTCTGAGGGACTCCCTGTCCTACCCCAGAGCTGCCTGAGAACTGGACGGACACCCGGGAGACGCTGCTGGAGGGCATGCTCTTCAGCCTCAAGTACCTGGGCATGACACTGGTGGAGCGGCCCAAAGGCGAGGAGCTGTCAGCCGCTGCTGTCAAGAGGATCGTGGCCACTGTAAGTGCCCTGGGGAGGGGGGTAGGTGCTACAGCCAGGGCCAGCTTCTTCCCAGCTGTCCCTTTTCCCCAGCTCATGACCTCAGTGGGATGTCTGAGCCTGGCCCTGCCCTGGAGTCTTCGTGTGTCAGCTCAGTGGCCTCACATGGAGGAGATCCACTGGACTTGGGTCAGGATCAGTGTCCTCCTTTCCAGCCAACATGTCTGTGGCCACTTTCAGTCTCAACTCCATGGCTCAGCCTCTTTGCCTGAGTTTTGGTGGCTTACCAGTGCTGGGGAGGTGGGGAGGTTGCTATCATTTGACCATGTGCCCAGTGGCCCGAGAGAGTGTAGCCCACGAGGGACCAGATTGGCCCCTCCCAGCTCTTAGTGAGTATGGCCCTTTAATCCACTTTCCTTAGTGACCTCGACCCTATGGCTCAGGTGCTGGCAGGAGTGGTGAGTGGAGCACTCCCACGTCATCCTGCTGGTGGAGATAGCCTTCAGCACCGTCTGGCATCCCTCCCAGCTGTGTGCCCTTGGACCAGTCCCTCACCCTCTGAGTTCACTTCCTCCTGGGGGGGAAGGATGAGAGTCCACCCCGCTGCCTGTGAGGTCCAGTGCTTGGCAGGCTGAGGGTACTGGTGAACAGCAGCAGTTGTTATCCTGTTTTTATTGCAGGAGGGGCTGGCTGAGCACCCTCCCCACGGCACTGGCCTGAGCCAAGGCCTCACGCAGGCCCTGCCTGTGGGCCTGGGGCAGCTAGGCGCAGCCGCGAGGCAGGGCCCCACGTAAATAGGCAGCTCCTGACCTACCTCTGCCTTCCTTCTCCCTTCCCCAGGCCAAGGCCAGTGGGAAGAAGCTGCAGAAGGTGACTCTCAAAGTGTCACCCCGGGGCATTATCCTGACTGACAACCTCACCAATCAGCTCATTGAGAACGTGTCCATTTACAGGTAAGCTCAGCACGGCGGTGGCCCGTGTCACTGCCTCTTGGGGTGGTGCATCGAGTGGTCTAGCTGAGTCCAGGCTCTGTTGCTTTCTGTCAGGGTGATGGTAGAGTCTTCATGTCCTCATCTGTTAGATGGGATGGGAGCAGGTCCTGCCTCCCTGAGCCGTAACAGAATGCTCCCACACAGCACCCAGCTCACAGCGAGTCTTCCACTAAGGTGCAGGTGCAGCAAGCAGCTGAGGCCTGGTCTGGCCTGGCCCTGTGCGCCCACCTCAACCTGCGCAGTGCCGACTCGGCCTGGAGCACAGAGCTACAGACTCCCTGCCTCTTTCACCGCAAATGCAGTAGCTCAGCCCTGGGCAACTGGCCGGGCATTCCAGAGGGTCACCCAGGATCTGCAGCCACAGTGTGTAGATGGTCCCTCTGAGGCTCTCTTGTCCCAGGGAGGCAGGGTTTAGCCCTTGGAGCCTCAGGCTACCTCCACTTCTCTCTTGGCTGGTCACCTGTAGAACTTAAGAACTAGAAGGGGTCCCAGTCCATTCTACAGATGGAGAAAGTGAGGCCCAGAGAGGGAATGGCCTCTGCTACAGTGAGGTGGCAGCTGGACAGGGACCAGGATACCCAGGCTAGAGCTCTGTCCAGCAGGCCCCCATCTTCCAGGCCTCCTTCCACTTTCTTGCTTTGTCCCCAGGCAGCTGGCTCAGCTGGCTGCAGCCTGGGCCAGCGTGGGGGCACATGTGCTGGGGTCAGAGTGTTGAGCAGATGCCTTTTCTCACCTTGCTGATGCCACCAGCCTGTCTTTCCAAGTACCTGCTCTGCTGATGTCTGTGCCAGATGAGGGATGTGACTCAGGCTCTGTCCTCCAGGAGCTCCCAGTCTAGGAGGGACAGGAGGGGAGGAAATAGGAGACAGAGTGTTGGGGCGGGGGGGGGGAACAGAAGAGGAAGGGCTTGCCTGGGGAAATCTGGGAATGCCTCTCAGGGGAGGTGACACCCTGCTGGGGCTTGAAGAATCACAAGATCTAGCCGACTGATTCCAAGGACCCAGGGCCATTTGGGCAAGAGGCTGGATCCCTAGAAATAAGAGGCAGCTGGGGATGTGCACCCCTTCTGTCCACCTGCAGGCCTTCAGCACTGCCATGGGAGTGGTGTCATTGAAGCTTGAAGCTGGGGTCTCTCGGCTCCTGGGCTGTCGGCTCCTCCCCTGGTCACGATTCCTAGGACGGGAGGAGTGGGGGAATCCAGCAGAGAGGACCAGCAGATGAGGGCCGGGGACACAAGAGGGTGTTCCCTGCAGAACGAGTTGCGGAGTCTCCACCCAGACCCACTGGGGATCCTGTCACCATCTTCACATGCCCAACCCTAGTTCTAGGTCCCCACCCTTGGCAGCAGCTCCAGAAGATGTGCTGCTCCTGATCCCAGCCACCCTGGGGGACATGGGCTGGAGTTCCCCTGATGACCTGGCAGGGGAGGCCGGGTGACGGGCAGAACGAGCAGGGCGGTGTCCCTACCCCCAGTTAGAACAGACCTTTCAGGGACAACTCTGGAATCCCACAGGTGAGTTTAGGTCCAGCTCTGCCACCAGCCCTGTCATCCCAGACCTTTAGCCTCAGTTTTCCCATCTCCAAGGGAAGCTCTGAGAATGAAGCAAGGCTCTGTCTGGAAAGCTTTGACCCGTTGCCTGGGGTGCAGTTGGGCATCAGCTCCTACTATTTTGGAGTGTGGCTCAACATGGGAGGGGGAGGAAGGAGGTGGCTTCCTCTGGTCTTTACCCCCAGTTCCTGGCCTGGGTCCTTCCCCCACAGAAGGTGCAGGATGCCAGGCCTGGAGGCCAAGGCTGAATCTACAGTCCGGCCTTGGAGAAGAGGGGATAGTAGGCTCTTTAAACTCAGGGGAGATGCCCTATAGCACATCCAAGCTGTGGTCAGGCCCTGTTGGGTCTGGTGACACTTCCCACTTGCCTTTCAGGATCTCCTACTGTACGGCAGACAAGATGCACGACAAAGTCTTCGCATACATTGCGCAGAGCCAGCACAGCGAGAACCTCGAGTGCCATGCCTTCCTCTGCACCAAGCGGAAAATGGTCAGTGGGGAGCTGGCGCTGCTTTTGGGAGGAGGCAAGACCCAAAGGTGAAAGTCCATTAACAATGGACGCAACCCCTGGGAATCTCAAGTGGCTGCTGAGAGCCAATGGCATTGTGCAGGCCTGTAGTCAGCGGCGCCCCACAGGACAGCCTGGTTGTGCCCAGTGACTCGCCTTTGTCCAGGAAGTACCTGGGCCGCTTCCTCTCTGTAACAAGATTTGTTAGGTGTGAGATTACCAGGGACCACTGCATCCTGCAGGGTGCAGACCTGGGAGGGCGTAGGCCCTGGAGATGAGAGGTCAGTGCCCAGCTCCTGGGATGGACCCCTCAGGGGACTGTACTTGCTGTGACCAGCCCAGGGAGGGAGAGGCTTCATCACCCTCCGCATGCTCATTTTAGTGCCTGGCTTTAAGGGTTTTCTTGTTTGACCCTCAGGACACTCTGCGCCGGGACACTGTTGTTCGCTGTTGTTTTTCTTTGAGATTTATAATGAAACACCCTCGGAGCCCAGTTGTCTTGCTGAAGATGACGGCCAGCAAGAGCAGAGGGCACTTGAACCCACATTCCTTCCCCTCTGTGCAGCTGGGAGGGCTGCGAGCTTCTGTCCCATTTCCAGGCTGACCCTGACACATCTAGCTGGATGGGTGGATGAGAGACCTCGGTGGTCTTGGGCATTTGTCTTGAATTTGGGAACATGGAGCTGGGGCAGGTCAGCCTTTGGCATCGAGGCTTTGTTTCTGCGGCCCTGTGATCGGAGCATCTTCCCTGTAAAGAGATTCCCACATCTGCTGATTCAGTGTCAGCTTCAGTTGACCTCTGTCACTGCCAAGAGCCTGGTCCCCAGTCCCCATGGCTCTCCCTTTCCTGTGTAAAAGGACCCGTGGAGGACATCAGAGCAGTGGGCCTGGCTTCCTGCGG